GTCTGTATTCCTTTTGGACGCTCTGGAAGAGAATCCATTTCCTGGCTGTTTTTCAGCTTCTGGAAGCTGCCTGAATCCCTGGGCTCACCCTCAGAACCAGCATGGTCTGCTGAGTCTTCACACTCTGACACTGATTCTTCTGCTACCCTCTTCCTCATCTGTCATTTCACTGGATCCATTCAGGTAATCCAGGAGAATTTCTCTATTTTAGGATCAGTTGATCAGCAATCTTAATTCCATCATCTACCTTAATTTCCCTTTTGCTATGTTATTCAACATATCCACAGGTTCCAGGAACTAGGAGATGGGCATCTTTGAGAGTTCATTATTCTCCCTGCCAAAACAGAGTAATCAAAAAATGGGAGAAGGTACAAGTAACTGATGTTAGTAATAAAAATGGGATATAGATACAGACATAGCAGAAATAAATATGTAATAGAATGTTATTAATGATTTATGTCAACAAATTTAAAACACAATCATATATTTCTAGAGAAATACAATTTACCAAAACTTATTTGGGGAGAAATGCAAAGCCCAAGAGTTACACAACAATTAAAGGAACTGAGTCAGTGGCTTAGTCTCTGAATGAAATGCAAAGTTTGGAAGATTTTACCTGCAGCTCCACTGAACTTTGAAGAAACAAACCAAATATAATTTTATATAAACCTTTTCAAAATAGCAAAGAGGGGGGCCATTTTCCAATTTATTTTTTAAGGTTAGTATATCTTGGTATTTGAACTTAACAAAAATGGTATAAAAGAGAAAAATTCACAAACCCATCTCACTTATAAACATAGACACAAAACATTAAGAGTCCAGATGCAGCAATTAGAAGAATAATCAAATTAGATTTGTTCCTGGAGTTCAATATTTAGTTAGCATTAGAAAATCTAATGATGTAATTTACTACACTTACAGATTAAAGAACAAAGACCATATAATCATTTTAGAAGTTGTTGAGATAGTATATATTTGTATGCCCTCATAATTAAAATTCTTAGCAAGCCAGGAATAGAAGAAAAACTTCTTAAACAGATAATATATATCTAAAAATGGCTATAGAAAATATCCTCATGGATAAAGCATTATGGGTATTTGTTTTCAAATCAGGAGCAAGAAAATATGTATACTAACATTTTTTCTAGTCCTAGTCAGTGCAATAAAACAAGTAAAAAAAATACAACAAAAGAAATATAAGAATTGGAAAATAGGAAATACCACTTCAGGATATGTCTCCAATGACCTTCTTTCTCCCACCAGGCCCCTGACCTACAGTCTCCACTCCCTCCCTGTAATCCATTTAGTTGTCAGTGGGTTAATCCATGATGCTATCAGAGACCTCCTGATCCAATCACTTCCCCCAAAGTCCCACCTCTGAACATTGCTGCCCTGGAGGCCACACCTTCAAAATGTGAGATTTTTGGATAAGGGTGCACATTCTAGATCCAAACCAAAACACCTACCTCACACTGTACACAATTCCCAGTAGATGAAGAACTTACATGTAAAAGGCCAAACTTCACAACTTTTAGAAGAACATGTAGGTGAAGTTGTTTTAAACTTAAGGGAAAAAGACTTCTTAAATAAGACACAAAGTATAAATTATAAAGAAAATTGTTGATAAGTTCACTACATTAAAGCTAAGACCTTCCTTTAACTTAACGATCATAATAAAGAAGATGAACTAGACAAGGTACAAACTGTGAGGCAATATGCTAATAAAAATTTAAGGAATCCTTCAAAATTTTAAACTTCTAAACAAACAATAATAAAATAGAATTGCATCATGGTTTAGAAGTATATTTCCTGGTCCCTCTATTTTTCTGCTCGGTCGTTTTTCTTTTTATTATTAGAAGTTTGTTGCTGAGTGATATTTCTTTATATAGATATGTCAGGACTTATACAGCCACTAGTTGTGGGAAATTTAGATTGTTTCTAGTTCTTGGTTATTATAAATTTAAACAGCTGTCATAAAAATTCATGTATAGGTAAAATAGGAGCATTTTAATGTATGGATATATGTTTTTATTTCTCTTCTGTAAATTCCTGAGAGTGGAATTTGGGGATTGCATGGTAAATATATGTGTAACTTATAATGAAATAAAAACCTGTTTCATTTCCAAAGTAGTTGTGCTATTTTAAATCCTCACCAGCAGTGTATGGGAGTTACAGTTCATAACAGTATTATTCATAACAGCAAAAAGTGGAAATAAACTTTCACTATCTGCAGGATGAAGAAATAAATTGTGGTACATTCATTCATAAGAATACCACAAATAAATAACTATAGCTGTATGCATAAACATTACTAAAATATATTAAGTGCAAAAAAAGAGAGAACAAATCATAAGAGAGTATATACAGTATATTCCATATATATTTATTTCTGAATATGCAATATTATAGGGGTGAGGAGGGATAAGGTCCTGAAAATATGTTGGTAATATACTATTTTTGATTTAGGTGACAAGTACATGGCCTTTGTTTATTTTCATTATTCTTTAACTAGCACAATACATTTTTCTTTGTGTATGTGTATGTATGTGTGTGTGTGTGTGTGTGTGTGAAAATTTTATAATGAAAGGTAAAAAAGAAAATTAAGATTGTTGGTATGTTTTTATTCTTACTATTTGCTTTACTTTAAAAAGAGAAAATAATTAACTTGGGCATTTGTCCTATGTTGTCATGTGTTTTCCTAATTCTATTTAGTATTCAGTATGAGACCTCCTCTGAGAGGTTGCTGTCTTAGCAGTGAAGTAATTCTGGAAAGCATTTCTGTCTCAGAGAGAGAATTTAGATGTCTGCCTGCCAGCAATATTAATGGCAGTAGTTAAATTCATAAATCCTTGTTTATGGAGATGAGAATGTAGCCCACCTGATAACAAAAATGATTGGGTAGAATTATTTATTTCTTAAAAATATATGAGGGAAGGATGTATCCTCTGTTTATTTCTTTTCCAATTGAATTATTTAAAACTGAGGTTTAAAACCATCACAAAATGACCTGATAGCCAAATATAAAGAATATATCATCAATTCCAGAAAGCTCAGTTGGTCAATTATTGGATAAGATGACCACAATATTGACAGTAAAAATGTCTGTATCTCTCTTCTAGGTCATATCATAGCAATATAAATTCAAGAAATTGAAAATTTCATATGATGAAAGTGACAGTGAGGAAAATGGAAAAGTGGCAAGAAATAAGTTTTTTTATGTATTTTGTAATATCTAAAAAGCTGTAAATTTTAGAGTTCCATCAGATAGCACATTTCCATCTCCTTCCTTTGACATTACTACCAAAGGCAATATTTTTGATGCAGTTACAATTTGATTACAAATTTTATTATAAACATATTAGACACAATAAAATTGTATATTTGAATAGAATTTCATCCCCCTTGAAAAAATCCTTATGGCACTCCAAGTATGAAAAAAATGTTTCCTTTTCTTTTTTCTTTCTTTCTTTTCTTTCTTTCCTTTTTTTTTTTTTTTTTTTTTGGTACTGGAGTGTTCTGCCACTTAGCTATATCCCCAGTCCTTTTTATCTTTTATTTTGAGACAGAGTCTCATTAAGTTGCCCAGACTGACTTTAAACTTACATCTTCCTGTCTCAGCCTTCTGAATAGCTGGGATTACATGTATACCACTGCACCTAGTTTCAAGTATGAATTTTTTAAAAAAATTTATTTTTTAGTTGTAGTTGGACACAAAGGTATTGTACCTTTTTTAAAATTTATTTTTATGTGGTGCTGAGGATCGAACCCAGGGCCTCACACATGCTAGGCTAGCGCTCTACCACTGAGCCACAACCCCAGCCCCTCAAGTATGAATTTTTTTATAGCTGGAAATTATGTGAATTATTAGAGAAACAATTTCAAATATAGAGGGCTAGGACACGAATATTTAATTTATTAAATAATAATAAAATTACTAATAACTAAGCATTTGTGGAATTACTATTAAAGTACAATACAAACTCTACAATATTTTTCTTTTTCTTTTTGTGGTGCTGGGAATTGAAACCAGGCCCTGGAGCAAGCACTCCCCCACTGAGCTACAGCCTCATTTCTTTTTCCATTTTGAGACAGTCTAAATAAGTTCCCTAGGCTGGCTTCAAACTTGTGATATGCTTTCCTCAGTCTCTTGAGTAGCAAATGCCTCTGTGTCTGGCTCAAACTCCACAAATTCAAAAAATGCCTTAATATCAATAGCTATCTTGATTTTTAAGTTTTAAGTTTGAACCAATATGTTTAATTAGAATTAGTCATTTTTAAAAATGAGGTGATTCTTTTATTGTGTTCCATGTAATTTTTAAAAATATATATTTTTTTAGTTGTTGATGGACCTTTATTTTTATCTATCTATCTATCTATCTATCTATCAATCATGCTGAGAATTGAACCCAGTGCTTCACACCATATTGTTTAGAAATCTTAAAAATAGCTGGGTGTGGTGGTACACACCTATAATCCCACCAGCTCGGGAGGCTGAGGCAGAAGGATCTTGAGTTCAAATCCAGCCTCAGAAACTTAGCAAGGCCCTAAGCAATTCAGTGAGATTCTGTCTCTAATAAAATATATAAAAGGGGTGGGGATATTGCTCAGTGGTTAAGCATCCCTGGGTTTAATTCCTGGTACCAAAAAAGAAATCTTAAATATATGTTTTGTTCCCTGTGGTTATATAAGAGATGGTAAAGAGTCCCATAATGGTGAATTGGCCTTGCCTGTTATTTTCTCATGCTAACAAATGACTGTCAGAGTGGGAATTTCTGAAAGATAGGCTACTTGATTCCTTACTTGCTCATTACTACTAAATGGGAATTCTCAATTTTTACATAGTGAGCTTTGATTATTTGTATGAATTAAATCAGGTATCCTATCCTAAATGAAGAATGAATTTTTTAACTTCTCTCTCAGATAAGTAGAATCATACATTATTTGAATGCCCAAACTTCAAAATTTCATAGGAAAGAAAGTATTTCTGTTTTCTTTTATAGGAAGAACATTGGAGCTTTCCTGTCTGGAAGAGTGTTTGCAGCCTAATTCCACCTATTCGCTGTCCTCCTTAAATTTTTCTTTTGTGACTTTTCTGCAACCAGTAAGGGAAACTCAGACTATGATGGGAATCTTTCTAAATTCCTCTACTTTCCAAAACTTCACGAAGATTTGCCAAGACATCACAAGTGAATTTAAAACATGCTCCTCATGTTTGGTTTGTGAATCCAAAGGAAACATGGATTCCATTTCTCAGGAACAAACATCAAAAGGTAAATGCAGAGGGGCTGGGAATTTGCTCTGTGCTAGAACAACTGCCTCGTATGCATGAGGCTCTGAGCTCAATCCCCAGTACGGGGGAAACGAGTAAATACAGAATGGCAGTGAGAATAAAATTCATCAAGTATAAATAGACCTACCCTGCTGAGAAAAGTATTAATAATAGATCCCATTTTAAAATCCAGTGACAGGGGAACACTTGGTGGTGTGGCTCTTGATGAGTGACTTGTAGGGTTTTTTGGTATTATTCATTTTTGGTTGACTTATTGAAAACAAAATATCTGTTCTTAAAATACATCAAAATGCTACTGCAGTTCACATACGTTTGGTGCTTAAAAAAAATTAAGTTATTTAGCATGCTGTCTTCCAAGGCAGCACATGTTTAAACAACAATTCTAAGTAAACCTGAAATTTCTCATAGTAAAAGCAAATTTTGTTTCTCAAAGGAGTCATTGAACCCTGGGTGCATTTGTCCATGCTCCTGCCTAACACTTCCTGGTCAGTAGGAGTTGTCTCTGGAGGGCAGGGCCTTGCCCTTGTTCACCACCAGACCTCTAGCTTTGAGCTCAATGCCTGACCTAATGTTTAGTGGGCCCTCAACAAACATTTGCTGAATGAAACAATGAACAAAGTAGAGAATAACTATGTATTACCTGCAGTACCTAATTGAACCTTGCATTTATTATGAGATCAGTCTATATTATTTAGGTAAATTGCATCAAACTGGGTAATTGAGAAATTAATTTATTCAAAGTCATAAAATATGCTGATGACTTCAAGCCCAAGCATCAGAATTATTGCTTACTGCTTTTCAGCAAGTTTGCCTCCTGTATCACTAGATACTGACTTTTTTCTATTCTTTGAGAACAGAGACAAGATTTCTTTGCATTGACTGTAGACAAAGTTCTTGCTCAAATAGTATGTAACCATTCCAAGGTTCCCTGTTGAATCTGTCTGAAAGCAAATTGAGGAAATTCCTCTATGATGATAGAGGTCCAGGAAGTGTTTTAAGAGCTGGTGGCTCACAGATGTTGCTTTTCTTCCTCCCTAACACATGAGAACAATGCCTTGGCAAGGTGTCCCAGCTGTCTTTGCTGCAAAACAAACTACTCCAAACTCAGTGGCTAAAAACAACAGCAATCATGTTATTATATCTTCTCTCTTTCTCTTCCTTCCCCTTCCTTTTTCTTACCTGCCTTCCTTCTTTCTTTTGTGGGTCAAGAATTCCGAGGGGGCCTAGCTGGTCATTTCTGGCTGTTGGAGTTAGATGGAGAGTGTAGCTAAAACAGAGCCAGAACAGGTAGAGGTTGGTAGGCATCTCTCTCTTCTTGGGGGCTCAGAGTTTTTCTCTATGTGATCTTTTCTTATTATTGTTGTGGTGAGAACACATAACATTTCTAAACACACAATGTCTTTATAACCACTGAACAGGAACTCTGTGTTTCCCCTCTGCTCTTGCCCCTGATGACCACCACTCTACCCTCTGATCCTAATAGTTTGAGTACTTAGATTTCTCAGATAAGGGGATTCATATGGAATTTGTGCTATCACTGACTTATTTCATTCACTCAGCATGATGTCTTCCATGTTGTCACAAATAATAGGAATTCCTTTTATCCTAAGGCTACAAAACACTACAAAACACTTGTGTGTGCATGCCATTTTATCTATTTATCTTTCAAGGAACAAATAGATTGCTTCTATATCTTTGGTATTGTGGACAATGCTGCCATGAATACGGAAGTGTGGGTATCTTTTTGAGATCCTGAATGGATGCTTTTGGAAATCCTAGGCACTGGGATTGCTGAGTCATATGGTAATTCTATATTTAATATTTTGAGGAACTTACATACAGTTTTTCATAGTGACAGGACCAATGTACATTCCCACCAGCATTATACAAGGGCTCCAATTTCTGTACATTCTTGATAGTACTTGTTATCTTTTGATTTTTGAAGATATTCTTTTTTTTTTTTTTTTTTTTTTTTTTTTTTTTT